GGGGGGGTAATCTTCTGGCGTCTGTGCAGCAATTTTCGCGCGCTTTTTTGTCTCTTTGCGTTTATCGTGTTTCAATTTCAAGCATCAGCGTTCTTACTGTTCAGAGCGTTACTGATCTAAGCCATGTTCCATCGTGTCCAAGTACCGAAATTCCGAAATGCTATTAATATACATAATACCGGAAACCTTGTAACCAATCAGTAGAGCATGGCTGACAGGCTGCAATTAGTCGCAAGTGTGAAATTTTGACGTGCGAAACACATCGATACGGATAATACGTCAAGCCACTGCCCAACATGGTATAATCTCCATGGCCCTCTAAAATAGTCTGTGGGTATCCCAGGATGCGATGACATCACATTACTAAAATTAGGAACCAATCAGGCAGGTGCACCGTTCTACGTTTAGCCGCATGTCTACTCGAATCATGAACGCAGCATGTAAGGAAAGGACGATGATAATAAACTTTTCTACAAACACAAATTATCAATATGAGGAAGAGACCCAGAGTATTTATATATAAATAAGTATATTTAGGACACAAGATGGTGAAATGGCGAGGTTGATCCCATCTTATCATAAATGTGTGCAAAAACAGCTTTAACAAACAAGAGTAGATCTAGATCTATCCAAAAATGAAAGGCCGGCCTGCTCTATTTCTCTGAACGCTCAGGAAAATAAACTTTACTCAATTTCTCCTAACGGTTTCCGTTCTCGAGATTTTTTTATAATTTGCAAATGGAGTGGCCCTGCACGTGTGTGTGTGTGTGTGTGTGTGTGTGAGTGTGTGTGTGAGTGAGTGTGCGTGTGTGTGTGTGTGAGTGTGCGTGCATGTGTGTGTATGTGTTTGTGTATAGTATATATGTGTGAACAAGGCGTGGGGGCGTGGGGGGGGGGGGGGGTGGGCGTGGATGGATTTTTTTTATTTACATGAAGGATTTTAGTTTTTTGCTTTAGGGGTGACTTAATGCAAAATAGGTTACTGCCATGGTCAATTAGTCTTGTTTTCCCGCAGTAGTACCTTTTGAAGGCATTTTTCAAATGAAGTGTATAGATCTCTAGATTCTAGATAGAATCTAGTCCGGAAACGTTGCCCCAACCACAACTGAAGTATCTGAATATTCAGACATTTAAAAATCTCTAGCTCTAGAAATTGAATTCGAAGCAAAAAATGCTTCTTCCCAGTCCTAATGACAGAATGAAAGATAACGCCTCCTAAAGTCTAGGTTCCTCCTAAATCTCGCTAAACCATTCGGAGAAAAAGAGATCAAGTTTATTTTCCCGAGTGTTCGGAAAAATAGTCACTTGGAAAATGAAAAGCGAAATACACAAAATAAGCATCATAACAGCCCAACCTGTTCTCCTTGTCAAGTGGACTTGGGTCCTTCTTAGCGAGCTGTTTCACTTTGTTCAAGTCGCCGTTCCAAGCAGCCTTGTGAAGTTTACCCAAATCCTTTTCTCTCACGTCATAACCAATATTCAAAGATGCAACTGAACCTCTTGTTGATCCTGATTTTGGGGAAGCCTCGCCGCTTCGAGCAGGCGATCCTTTTCGAACTTTCCTCCACAACTTTTTCATCTTGATTGTCGTAACTAAGAACGCTTTCCAGTTTGAATGCCGAGTCAATGAGTCTCCGCCATTTTCACAGCTCAACTAAGGGCGATTATGCGCGCATTCTTTCCAATGTAATAATGTTGACATGTGGGTGGAGCCCCTTTACAGGAAGTTTTTCAATTTTCAATTTCAATAATGGCAGCCACCAGTACAACGAACGACACCCAGACCCACACTCCAGAGAAAGTGAAAAATCTCTTGTCTTCGTTCTTGGCTTCCTCTGAACAGACACGAACGGAAGCAATAACGTAAGTCCCCTTGCCTTTCGCCCTTAAAATGTTGGCCGGCTCTATTTCTCCAAACGTTCGGGAAAATAACTTACACTTTACTTTATTTCTCCGAACGGTTTCCGTTCTCAAGATTTGTTGATAATAAAGCGAATGGAGTGGCCTCTATTGTGTGAGTGTGTGTGTGTGTGTGTGTCAGTGAGTGTGTGTGTGTGTGTCAGTGTGTGTGTAAGGTGTGAACGGGGGTGGGGGACGTGGAGGGATTTGTTTTTCTAAGGCAAGGCAAGGCCTTTGTTTTTTTAAGTGGGGTAAGAGTAAGAGTGAAGAATAGCGGACCAGCGGACTGGGACTACTTTTGCCTCTATTATGTCATGTCTCAACCGCTGGTATTTTAGGAGTTCAGCACAGTTAAAAGAGCGGTTAATGGCTTTTTTTTTTAATCGTAATGCTATTTTTATAATGAATGGAAGGGAAATTGTGATGAAAAACTATTACAATTTCGGGGTGAGAATAGTGCAGGCGAGTCTTTTTGGCTATTCATATTCTCACCCGGTGCGCGTTCACCGTTATAGCCTAGATCTAGGCCAACAAATTTTGCGTTCACCCTAAACCACAGAATTCTGCACTGTGATAACAGAAAAATTGTAGAATTCTGTGCAGTGAACAAACATTCCATTACAACTGTGGCCTACTAAAAGCGTACAATTTTGTCTGTGGGCAGTGGAGAGAAAGAGAGAGAGGAGTAGCGCGAGAACTTCCAGTCAAAACAAAATGGCGACCCGTGTAGTTCGGCTCGATTCGAAAAGTTAAATAGCCGTTGCATCTTTGTAGACAACTAAATTAATTTACTTTTGTGTTTTAACATCATTTTTTAACTTTGTTTTGGTCAATTTGATCGTCCACACCGATAGACAGTATTCAGAAAGAGACAG